CACCTCTGCTTTTTTTTTTTTCCGCAGCACTTCCTCACCATCTACTGCAGACAGATGGACTCATCTGTTACCTGCATTGCCCGGCAAGCAGGTCGGCTGCATAAGGACCTTTATTTAGTTCCCTTAAATGCATCCCAAGCACCCACACAGCCTTGCTGGCCACCTGGTAGACTGTTGAATGAACTAAATGAACTCGACCTCGGAGTCCCTGTGCAGCCTGCGACAGCCCCTCCCACCTGCCAGAGGCCAAGCATCTCTCTCATCCTGTTCCTCCATAGCAACTATCTTCATCCCCCATCAAAATGACTTCATGAAGCCATCCCCTCCCAGTTCTCAGGGCCAGCCCAGCAAGCTGAAGCCCAAGGAAGGGATGGAAACCACCCCAGTCTTACCCCGGCAAGGCACTTGAGAGCGAGCATCCAGCAGCACACAGGCTGCCCCAGGACCCCCCGACACTGGAGTCATCCCAGCATTCCACTGGCAGCAGCTGCCCCAAACACGGTGCACAGGGACAGCAAATAGATTTCCCCTGCTCCCATTCCAGGTGATTACTAGTGTGCCGCCCTACCTGGCTTGGCAAAAAAACACACCATGACAGACTAGTGATGTCTTGGCTGGGAGTGCCAGGATTGGAAGGCATGTCACTGGGCCACCATTCCCACAGGGCTTGAAGGGACTCCAGAGCAGTGCTGCCCAAAGGGCCTCTCCAAGATGATGGAAATGTGCTATGTCAGCACTGCCCGATTCAGCCACCAGGAGCCACGTGGTTCCTCACCACTTCAGATTTGGCTAACATATCTGAGAAACTGAATTTTTATTTAATTTAAAATTCTAAGTTAAAATAGCCCCTGGGGGCTGGGCACAGTGGCTCACACCTGTAATCCCAGCACTTTTGGGAGGCCGAGGCAGGTGGATCGCAAGGTCAGGAGGTTGAGATCAGCCTGGCCAATATGGTGAAACCCGTCTCTACCAAAAAGTAAAAAAATGGCCGGGTGCAGTGGCTCACACCTGTAATCCCAGCACTTTGGGAGGCTGAGGCAGGCGGATCACGAGGTCAGGAGTTCAAGACCAGCCTGACCACCATGCTGAAACCCCGTCTCTGCTAAAAATACAAACAAAATTAGCCAGGTGTGGTGGCACACGCCTGTAATCCCAGCTTCTCAGGAAGCTGAGAAAGGAAAATTGCTTGAACCTGGGAGGCAGAGGTTGTAGTGAGCAGAGATGGAGCCACTGCACTCCAGCCTGGGTGAGTGGAGAGGAGAGACTCCGTGAGTCCCAGCACTTTGGGAGGCCAAGGCAGGTGGATCACGAGGTCAGGAGTTTAATACCAGCCTGGTCAAGATGGTGAAACCTCATCTCTACTAAAAATACAAAAATTAGCTGGGCGTGGTGGCGGGCACCTGTAATCCTAGCTACTCGGGAGGCTGAGGCAGAAGAATCGCTTGAACCTGGGAGGTGGAGGTTGCAGTGAGCTGATATCATGCCACTGCACTCCAGCCTGGGCAACAGAGTGAGACTCCGTCTCAAAAAAAAAATAAAGTAAAATAAAATAAAATAAAAAAAAACATACGCCGAGCATGGTGGCTCACACCTGTAATCCCAACACTTTGGGAGGCCGAGGCGGGCAGATCGAAAGGTCAGGAGATCAAGACCATCTTGGCCAACATGGTGAAACCTCGTCTCCACTAAAATACAAAAAATTAGCCGGGTGTGGTGGCGCATGCCTGTAATCCCAGCTACTTTGGAGGCTGAGGCAGAGGAATCGCTTGAACCCAGAAGGCAGACGTTGCAGTGAGCTGAGATCGTGCCACTGCACTCTAACCTGGTGACAGAGCAAGACTCCAACTCAAAAACATAAAATAGCCCCTGGGGGCTGGGCATGGTGGCTCAAACCTATAATTCTAGCACTTTGGGAGGCCAGGGTGGGTGGATCGCTTGAGCCCAGGAGTCTGAGACCAGCCTGGGCAACATAGCAAAACCTTGTCTCCACTAAATGTAAAAATAAAAATTTTAATAGCCCCTGGAGTTCCTGGTTACTTTACTGGACACTGAAGGTTTAGACAACTGGACTTTAATACTCCACTGACACCCCAGAGTGAACACTTCCCTGGAAACACAGGTAGCACTGACCCAAGGCTCAGCATTGTGGCCCAAAGCCCACACTGCCAGGCTTCAAGCCCACACTGCCGGGCTTCAGAAACACCTAAGGTTGGGCCTCAGCTCTAGCACACGGGCCACAGGTTTCTCATTCTGTCCGCAGAGGCCAGCTGAAGGTCAAGGTCCACAGTGGGTGGAACCTGTTGACAAGATGTCCACAAACCCATCTCCAACCACAGTACTCACAGGACAGTGAGGAAGAAGAATCTAACCCAAAGCAGACTCTCACTTCCTGATTGCCAGAGGTGTGCCAAGGCCAGGCACTATGTGGGTCTGAGATGGATCCCCCAGCCCCTACCTCACCCAGAAGTGGGACGTGCAAGACCCCTCCCCCAACGCGGGAATGGCAGACAGGAAAATAGAAAAACAGAAAGTTTACCTGTTGTGGACTTTTAGATAATATTTGCTGAGGAACTTTTTATGACATGTGGGGCATTCGACCGGCACCGCTGTACCTTTTCTGTTCTCAGCAGGCTCAGCTGCTAGGGAGCCCGCACTCAGGGCTGGCTCAGCTGCACAGGCCTTTCGGATTACATTTGACTTCCTCCTGGTCAGCACAGCCTCAGGCTCAGACATGTAATCACCATCCCCGTCGTCCTCCACTTGAACCACCACTTCCCACTAGAGCACAATAGGCAGCAGGAGGGGGTGGGGTCACCAAATGAATCAGCAGGAGTTGTAGGGACCCAGCTCCAGTTCCATCCCAAGCCCCAACCCTGACAAGTCCCTTCATCAGACACTGTTCCTTCAGGGGCCCAAGGCAGAGCATCTGAGTCTTGGATTCAGAGGAAAGTGACTGTATTTGTGGGGAACTGGAAGCTCGGATGGAAACACTATCCTGGGGAAACACCTGTAACCCTGATGCTGCCCACTCCTCTCAGGAAGGTGGCAACCATGAATAGCTGGGGCTTGCAGAAAGGTCAGCCTGAGATCACCAGCTTCCTTTGTTTGGAGAAAGCCCGTTCCAAACCCACATTAACAGAGATTGTCTTAAGGTCCACTTTTTTTTTTTTTTTTTTGAGACAGGGTCTTGCTCTGTCGCCTAGGCTACAGCGTAGTGGCACCATCTCAGCTCATTGCAACCTCCACTTCCTGGGCTCAAGTGATCCTCCCACCTCACCCTCCCAAGTAGCTAGGATTACAGGTGTGTGCCACCACACTCGGCTAATTTTTGTATTTTCTTTGTACAGATGAGGCCTCGCCATGTTGCCCAGGCTGGTCTCGAACTCCCAAGCTCAAGTGATCCACACCCACCCTGGCCTCCCAAAGTGCTAGGATTACAAATAGACTTCGTCCATCCCTGTCGTCCTCCACTTGAACCACTCACGTGAATGAGCCATCACACCCAGCCCAGGGTCCCTATTATACCAAAAAAAGTGTCTATTCCCTCCATTTGTCTCCCCAGTCCCAGCACCCTGGGCACAGTACCTCATTACTCCCGCCCTGCAGCTGGCCACCTTCAGCCTCGAAGGGCCTTGGAGGCATTTTGCAGTCCTCAGGTTCCTTGTCCTCGGGGGAACAAGGCTTCAAGGCCTGCTTGAGTTTCCCACAGAGGGAGGAGGGACTCTCTCTCTGAGCTGGGGAATGGAGCTGGGGCCTCTGAGGACTATGACTGCCTCTGGGCTCCTGATCTCTGGGGACTAGACCCAGAGTCCTCGAAACTTCCTCTTCTTGCAAGCCTGCCGGCTCCTTGAGGAGGCTGTTCACATTCTGGGAGGCAGGGGGCCCCAGCCCACTCTGGCCACCTGCTGCCTGTCCCACTGAAGTTTTGGGCTTGAAGCTCTGGCACAGCTCTACGGCCTCTGGCACTCGCAACTCCCTGGCTGCCAGGAGCACCTGATCCCGGTTCCCTGAGGTGAGGGCGAGGTGACCAGTGTAGAAAAAGTCCAACAAGAGGCCAAAGATCTCAGCGAAGCCAGCAGGGAGGACGACACTACCTCCTGAGCCATCCCCGTAGAGGCTCTGGAAGAAGTGGCTGCAGCAGGCAAGGACACTCCAGTGCGCCTTAAACACCAGGCCCCCAACGTCCAGAGTGGCGTCGCAGTACTGGCCCTTCTCCCGCTGCTTGTTGAGCTCCTGCAGAACCCTCACACTGTGCTGGACGAAGGAGCCGTCCATGGTCTGGAGGGCAGGGAGGCAGAAGTGACACCCTGGCCAGCCCAAGCGAGCGTATGCAAGAGAAAGCCCCTGGAGTCGAAGAGAGAGAAAGGGGAAGTTGGCCTCCACTCAAATAATCACATTTATCAGCACGAGGGCTTGGGTCAAGGTGAGGGGTGCACGCGGAGGGCAGGAACATACTTGACAGCCTCCCGGGGACCGGGGGCCATATTGGATTGGCCAGGGGGGATGCTGATGGGGGGGTCAGGGTCATGAAGAAGGGCCTGGTGGGAAAAATCCAAGTTTGGGGAAAGAAGGCACGGGATGAGCGCGAACTGACTGGCCTGGCACAGTGAGAGGATCCTGGACTGGGGAGGACGGCGGCCGCGGACAGGTAAGCGGAGCCCACGCCGCGCCCACAGGTCCCGAGCGGCCGAGCGGAAGGCAGCCACGGCGGCCCGCAGCCCCTCCCTCCCTCACCTCGTGCCCTCCTCACCCAGGCAGGTCCTCCCTGAGCTGGCCCCACCAGCCCCCGGCTCCGTCGCCTCCACAGCCCACGAACCAACTGCCCGGCTATGCGTGCCCCGCCGACCGTGCGGAGACGCAGCCGTCTCCGCGCCGGACGTGACGTCAGAGCGTGCCGGCCAGGAGGGGCGCCTCGGAAGCGTAGATCTTCTAGCTCCGGCACCCGAGGGCGGGGCCCCGCAGAGAACGGCCAATGGGATGAGGGGATGAGGCCACGCCCTGTTCTTTTGGCGCTGGGCCCGCCTCCGGGGTTGCCTAGCAACGTCAAGCTGGGCACCAAGCCTTTTCCAGGTTCTGGGTTCAGACTTGAATCCGCGGCACCTCACCCTCTTCCCCGACAGGAGACCAGATACGCATTTCACTTCTTTATTGGCAGCCCGGAGCCTGGTCTGGGCTCTCCCGGGCGCTTACACGTCCCAACCCCAGACTGAGGTGCCCAAAGGCCTCCCAAACAGCCCTGGCCTGCTTGACCTTCGACCCTCAGGACAGAGAAAGCTACCAGCTATGCCTGCTGACCCCACTGGTCAGGTGGAGCCGCGGTGCCTCGTGTAGTCCTGAATGGAGGCCTGGAAGTGCTCTGTGCTGTTGAGGTCTGGGCGGCAGAGGATCACGTAGCACTTGGGCAGAAAATACCCGCCGAAGCCGCTGCTCAGGCTGCTCAGCCCAGCCAGCATGTTGACCGCGGGCAGATACTTGCCGTCGTAGACACTAGCCGTGGTGAAGAAGGCGATCCAGGACATGAAGTTGAAGAGCAGGCTGAAGGTGACACATTTGGCCTCGTTGTAGTTCTCTGGCAAGTCCTTGCCCAGGTAGCTGCAGGCAAAGGCACTGATGGAGAGAAGGCCATTGTAGAGAAAGGCCAGTATGAAGCCCAGGGAGTTGGCCTCTGTGCACTCAAGCATCACCAGATGGGGGAAGCGCTGGTATTCCCTAGTGGGCAGTGGAGTCCACACCACCAGCCAAGTTAGACAGATAAGCAGCTGAGCCGCTGAGCTGATCATCACAAACAGGCCAGCACCATGGTTTTGGACCCAGACGCGGTAGAAGGTAGGTGCCTTGGCGGAAAACTTGAAGATGATGATTAGTTGGAAGGAGCGAACTGTCAGGCAGGACAGGAAGATGGTGAAACCAAGGGCAAAGAGGGCCTGGCGCAGCAAGCATGCAGGCCTCGTGGGCTCCCCAAAGAAGCCATAGAGGCTGCCGCTACCTGCTGCCAGGGAGCCCAGCATAAGAAAGCACAGGCGGCCCCCTGCTGACCTCACCACAGGGGTGTCTAGGTGCCAGGCAAACAGGCCAGCAGTCCCAAGCAGCAACAGCAGCAGCAGTGTGTTAGCTGCCAGCAGCACCCAAGAGGTGTGCTCTTGACAAGCCAAAAACACCACAGTGCGTGGGAAGCAGGTCTGGCTTCCCTCAGGTGCCCACTCTTCTTTCCCACAAGGCTGGCATCTGTAGAGGTCTGAAAGGGAAGGCCAAGAAGGTTCCTGAGAGCCAGATGAGCAGAGTAGGAATAGGAAATAGGGGCCTGCAAGATACTGGGAGAATTGTACCCAGGCAGCTAGACTGTGCTAGGCATGGTGGGATGGGGGTAGCCGGGAGTGGGGCCTGAGGCCAAGCATTTCCTCAAAATGCCTGTGTTAATTACACACTGGAGACCCACAGGTCAGTTCTATATGGCTCATGATCCCATGAGGGTTTTGCAAACCCTAGGGAGGACCTTACCCTGGTAGCTCTGCCCACATAACAGAGAGGCTACGATCCAATGGGAGCAGCCTGCTCCCAAGGGAGGGCATTTTAACCCCTCTCTCTCTCCAGCATTTCCATGAACCATTTTCCTTAGCTGCTGCTCTGTGGTTTCTCTGAGTCCTGACCCTCTGAGGACAGAAGGGAAGTATTCCTGTCCCTACAGAGATGGTGAAAGGAAAGAATGTGGCCCCTGGACACCAACGAAGGACATGAGTCCTTAGCTATTTAATTTGCTCTCTGTTCTTGATCTTGCATTGCTGGATGGGGAATGCTGTTTTTTTTCTCTGTTGCAGACATGCTAGTATCTGTATTCAGGCCAAGCTGTTCAAGGAGCTAGCTGTCTTTGGCATGGGCAACAGAAGGGACAGTAGGACAAGAGGGCACAAAGGGAACAATAGCTACATTCATTTAGAGAAAGAGGTTGAATTCAGGATACGATTGCATTTGTAGGAGTTGTGATGACAGCTGTCTAATAGAGGACACACCTCAGTCTAAGGATTTCAGTTGGCTGATTCTTTCTTTTTCTTTTTCTTTTTTTTTTTTTTTTCAGATGGAGTTTTGCTTTTGTTGCCCAGGCTGGAGTGCAATGGTGCAATCTTAGCTCACCACAACCTCTGCCTCCCGGGTTCGAGAGATTCTCCTGCCTCATCTTCCCGAATAGCTCGGATTACAGGCATGCGCCACAACGCCCAGCTAATTTTTTTTGTATTTTTAGTAGAGATGGGGTTTCACCATGTTGCTCAGGCGGGTCTCAAACTCCTGATCCTCAGGTCATCCGCCCGCCTTGGCCTCCCAAAGTGCTGGGGTTACAGGCATGAGCCACTGCACCCAGTGGCTGATTCTCTTTATCAGAATTCTGTCTGGTAGCAGGAGTCCTCCAACCTGAAGCTAACTGGCAGCCAAGTGACTGGGCCCTGGTTCAGAGGCAGGGCATGTGCACATGGGGACCAAGGGAGGCCTCCCTCCACCGTGCAGCCCCCGGGAGTGCTGGGTAGCTCGCCTGCTCCATTGCCCACTCACCACTCTTGTTAAGGAAGGTCCCAGCCCCACAGGGCACACACTCAAAGCAACAGGGATGGAAACCTGTAACCACTCGCTGGTGCCCTTCAAGACAGTCACTGGAACACACAGACTTAGGCACCTGTAAGAAGCCAGAGGGGCCACACATAGGGGCCCAAGTCAAAGGACAGCTCACATGTGGAACAGAAAACAGAATCTCTGTGCATCTGCCCTCACGGCTCACTCCCAGGGCAGGGCCCCTGGTCATGTGAACTTCCACCCCAGGGCTTCTGCACACTCGCCTATGGAATGTCTTCCCTGCTTCCCTGGCCAGGATGGGTAGAGTGGTGGCAGCTGGACCCCTGGGGTCCCCCTCCTGCTCCCTGTACACTTGTGTCAGCATCACACCCAGACTCTAGGCTGCCCATAAGGCAGTTACCTGGTGAATGACCACATCCCCATTACCTGGTTGTCCTTTCCATGCCACTGGATTTTAGTCTCATTTATGTCTAGCTGAACTGGAGACCATGTGGAGGAACCGAGGACTGTGAAGGTCCACTTCGGCCCACTCCAGTCCCAGGCAATTATGTTATAGCTACTGAGGGGGTCTCCATTGTCATTAAACATCACAGTGTCCTTGTGTAGAAGGAAATTCACCTTGTGGATCTGCTCCAAAAGCTGAAAGAAACACATATCACAAAGCCACCATAGACAGCACAGACCTACATGGTCCCAGAAGCAAGGGCCTGGGGGCTTCCTGGGTTTCCATCCTGGTGGTTTCAGCCCATCGGGAAGGTATAGTCCCTTCCTTCTTAGGAAGCCCTTCAACCCTCCCCACCAACCTTCTGAGAGGAGGCCTCTAACAAAGGCTCCTTTACAGACAGTTTTAGCTCTGGACCTTGTCACTTGACACTTCCAAGACACAGTGGGTGAGAGAAGGTAAGGATCAGAGAGAAAGATCTGTCTAAGAGAAGAGAGCTCACGCCTGTAATCCCAGCATTTTGGGAGGCTGAAGCGGGAGGATCACTTGATGCCAGGAGTTCGAGACCAGCTTGGCCAACGTGGTGAAACCCCATCTCTACTAAAAATACAAAAATTAGGCCGGGCACAGTGGTTCACGCCTGTAATCCCAGCACTTTGGGAGGCAGAGACAGGCAGATCACGAGGTCAGGAGATCGAGACCATCCTAGCTATCATGGTGAAACCCTGTCTCTACTAAAAAACACAAAAACATTAGCCAGGCGTCGTGGCAGGCGCCTGTAGTCCCAGCTACTTGGGAGGCTGAGGCAGGAGAATGGTGTGAACCTGGGAGGCAGAGCTTGCAGTGAGCCGAGATCGCGCCACTGCATTCCAGCCTGGGCAACAGAGCGAGACTCCGTCTCAAAAAAAAAAACAGAAAAATTAGCTAGGCGTGATGGTGGGTGCTTGTAATCCCAGCTACTCAGGAGGCCGAGGCAGGAGAATCACTTGAACCCAGAAGGTGGAAGTTTCAGTGAGCTGAGATCGCATCACTGCACTGCAGCCTGGGCAACAGAGCCAGATTCTGTCTCAAAAAAAAAACAGTCCATAAGTTAGTCGCATTTATCACCCTTGGCATTTAGGGTGACCAGAGAGTGCCCACTCTGCTTGTCTCAGGATTGGCTGTTCTCTCCAACAGAAGGTGCTGGGGTGGGCTCTCTTACCTGCCAGGGGTAGACTCGGCCCCTGGAACAAACTCCAGAGGCACAGCCCAGGAGCTGGTGGAGGCCATGGGCCACTGCATACACAGCCCGGTACGCGTTGTAGGCAGAACTCATGGAGAAGCCTTTGAGCTTGGGCATCGTGTGTGCCGTGAAAGCTTCACATTCTCTGCAGACCTGATTGCTGCTGCAGCAGGAGCTCTTGTGGCAAGGCCTAGGGGCTCCCTTGTCTGCCCGGGCATAGGCTTCTTCAAATGCCTTCAGGCCAGGGACAGTCCTCTTCTGGATGGCCACGCCCAGCACCGTCCCAATGCGCTGGATCCCGGGCACCCCAGTGATGTGCCTGGAGAGGACCCAGGCCTCTGAGGCGACCCACACCTTGCCAGTCAGGTTGGCTAGCACCACGGACTCGAAAAACACCCTGGCCAACAGCCGGTTGGAAAAAACGACCACAACGGTGGCCGTGGCCTGGGCCAGGTGGCGCATCAGGCGCTGCATCCTCTGATCGCCTACCTGGGCAGAGAAGGGCACGATGTCCTTGAAAGCAATGCAGATCCCCTGATCAGTGGCCTGCTTCTCCAGTGCCTGCACCCCTAGCTGCCCATAGTCGCCACTGCTGCCAACCAGAGAGATCCAGGTCCACCCGAACCTCTGCAGCAGCAGCACCATGGTCTCCACCTGGTACTTGTCGTTGGGGATGGTGCGCAGGAAAGAGGGATACTGCCGCTTCACGCTGAGCGTCTCGCTGCTGGCCCCATAGCTGATCTGTGGGAGGTGCCATTCAGCCAGTTCAGTGGCATAAGTCTCCACTGAAGGCCCCCCAATGCCTGGGCCTGTGCTGGGTGTGGGGATGCAGGGAGCAGGGGAGACCAGGAGAGCACCATTCACCCTGTGACACTGACAAATCACCTGCGAAGGCTCCACCAGGGCGGGTTGTGGGGGAGGAGTGGGAATCTGCCTGGGAACAAGAGGGGAGGGGATGCATTCCAAGCAAAGGAGACAAAACTTGCATAGGAGTGAAATAGTCTGGTGTGTTTGGGGACCTTCAGGGACTTCCGCTGGAGGCAGTTTGCAAGGAAGAAGAGAAGCATGTGTAGGTCAGGGTAGAAGTTAGGTCAGTGGCCTGTTAGGAACCGTGCCTCACAGGAGGAGGTGAGCAGCTTGTGAGTAAGCAAAGCTTCATCTGTATTTACAGCTGCTCCCTTCCTGTCAGATCAGCAGCAGCATCAGATTCTTGTAGGAGCGTGAACTCTACTGTGAACTGCGCATGTGAGGGATCTGGGTTGCGCGCTACTTATGAGAATCTAATGTCTGATGACCTGTCACTGTCTCCCGTCACCCCCAGATGGGACCATCTAGTTGCAGGAAAACAAGCTCAGGGCTCCCACTGATTCTACATGATGGGGAGTTGTAGAATTATTTTATTATATTAATACACGATGGCCAGGTGCAGTGGCTCACGCCTGTAATCCCAACATCGTTGGGAGGCCGAGGTGGGCAGATCACGAGGTCAGGAGTTTGAGACCAGCCTGGCCATATGGCAAAACCCCGTCTCTGCTAAAAAATACACAAATTAGCCGGGCATGGTGGCAAGTGCCTGTACTCCCAGCTACTTCGGAGGCTGAGGCAGGAGAATTGCTTGAACCCAGGAGGTGGAGGTTGCAGTGAGCCGAGATCACGCCACTGCACTCCAGCCTGGGCGACAGAGCGAGACTCCGTCACAAAAAAAAAAAAAAAATATATATATATATATATATATATATATATAATTTATATATTTATTTATATAAATAAAACAATGTAATAATATAAATAAGTGCACAATAAATGTAATGCACTTGAATCATCCTGAAACCAACCCCTCACACACCTGTCCATAGAAAAATTGTCTTCCACAAAACCAGTCCCTGATGCCAAAAAGGTTGGGGGCCACTGCTATAAGCTACAGGGAGGCCCTAAGGACATCCGCAGAGAAGTGCTATGTTCGGACTTGCATTTTTTCTTTTTTTTTCTGAGACAGAGTCTTGCTCTATCGCCCAGGCTGGAGTGCGGTGGCACGATCTCGGCTCAGTGCAACACCTACCTCCTGGGTTCAAGAAATTCTCCTGCCTCAGCCTCCTGAGTAGCTGGGATTACAGGTGCCTGCCACCACCACCAGCTAATTTTTGCATTTTTAGTTTCACCACGTTGGCCAGGCTGGTTTCCAACTCCTGACCTCATGAGCTGCCCATCTCAGCCTTCCAAAGTGCTGGGATTACAGGCGTGAGCCACAGCGGCCAGGACTTGCATTTTATGAGCATATCTCTGACTTCAGTGAGGAATGAGTTAGAAAAGATTCAAGACTAGAACCAGGGGGAAGCCTTAGGACACTGATGGAAGAATCTAGTTGAGAAATAATGCTGGTCTGAATTCCAGCTGTGGCTGTGGCAGTGGAAAAGGAGGCCAGAGAGGATGAAAGATGGGGAGCAGGGCAACGAGGAGCGGCAGTGGGCAGGACTCGGGTGATGGCTGCTCCATCACTACCCTCCACCAGAGGGTTGGGGCCAATACAGGAAGAAAAGAGGCTTTTGTTGTGTAGGGAGGTAAGGTCAATCTGCGCTCTGCTGGGTCCATGATATGGTGAGGTTGGGCCAGCATCAGGGGCTCAGATCAGAGGGGAGGGGACTGAGAATGGGAAGTTAAGCCACAAGCCCACAGCCTGCCTGGGAACTGGAAAAGGGGAGGAGAGGAGGGTGAAACTTGCTCCGGGGAATCACCTGCCTCTTCAGAGGAAGTGGGACAAGAGGAGAGAAGGGCTGCAAGTGAAAGCCAGGCACGGGTAGGGGGCTGGGGGGGCATAAATTCCAAGGAAAGACTCTCATAGGAGGAGTGGTCTAAAATGTCACAAAGGGCATGGTGGCTCATGCCTGTAATCTCATCACTTTGGGAGGCCAAGGCAGGTGGATTGCTTGAGCCCAGGAGTTCCAGGCCAGTCTAGGCAACATAGTGAGACCTCCATCTCTACAAAAAATACAAAAATTAGCCAGGCATGGTGGCACATGCCTGTGGGCCCAGCTACTTGGGAGTATGAAGTGGGAGGATCGCTTGAGCCTGGGAGACAGTGAGCCAACATTGTGCCACTGCACTCCAGCCTGGGCATCAGAGTGAGACTGTCTCAAAAAAAAAATCACAAAGAATTCACCTAAGATAGGCCGGGTGCCGTAGCTCACACCTGTAATCCCAGCACTTTGGGAGGCTGAGGCTGGCACGAGGTCAGGAGATCAAGACCATCCTGGCTAACATGGTGAAACCCTGTCTCTACTAAAATTACAAAAATTAGCCAGGTGTGGTGGCAGGCACCTGTAGTCCCAGCTACTCAGGAGGCCGAGGCAGGAAAATGGCGTGAACCCTGGAAGCGGAGCTTGCAGTGAGCCGAGATCATGCCACTGTACTGTAGCCTGGGCGACAGAGTGAGACTCCGTCTCAAAAAAAAAAAAAAAAAAAAGAGCCGGGCGCGGTGGCTCAAGCCTGTAATCCCAGCACTTTGGGAGGCCGAGACTGGCAGATCACGAGGTCAAGAGATCGAGACCATCCTGGCTAACACGGTGAAACCCCGTCTCTACTAAAAAATACAAAAAAAACTAGCCGGGCGAGGTGGCGGGCGCCTGTAGTCCCAGCTACTCGGGAGGCTGAGGCAGGAGAATGGCGTGAACCCGGGAGGCGGAGCTTGCAGTGAGCTGAGATCCGGCCACTGCACTCCAGCCTGGACGACAGAGCCAGACTCCGTCTCAAAAAAAAAAAAAAAAAAAAAAAAAAAAAGTCACCTAAGATAAAGAAGGACTGCAAAGTAGGATTTGGAGACCTAGAAGGTGCCCCAGCTCACAGCAAAAGCAAGAGTGGCGGGGGCAGCCCTCAGGGGCTGAGAGGCAATGAGGGGAGGGAGAAGCCAGCAGGAAGCTTCCATGGGAAGGGGCAGAGAGTCAGTGCTCAGTGTAGAGAGCCTAGAGGAGGGAGAGGGATGACGGCAACCACAGGCCAGGCAGGAACCCATGGGGAAGAATCCATAAGCCAAGGAGGGGCTGTGGTCCAAGGTACAGGGCAAGAATAAGCACAGGGACAGGACTGATCTCAGCAAGGTGAGGGATGTCAGCACCTCTGAGCCAGGAAGGAAGAAGGAAAGGCAGTCAGGAGAGACTGGGATGATGTGGAGCAGTCTATGGGGTGGGAAGCAAAGGGTGTCCTTTTTTGGGGGTGGTGGTGGGGGGACAAGGCATCACTCTGTCACCTAGGCTTGAGTGCAGTGGCACAATCTTGGCTCACTGCAACCTCCACCTCCCAGGTTCCAGCAATTCTCCTGCCTCAGCCTCCCGAGTAGCTGGGATTACAGGCACACACCACCACTCTCGGTTAACTTTTGTATTTTTAGTAGAGATGGGGTTTCGCCATATTGGCCAGGCTGGTCTCAAACTCCTGGCCTCAAGAGATCTGCCCAGCCTCCCCAAGGGATTACAGGCATGAGCCACAGTGCCCGTCCAGGGTGTCCATTCCTAACAAAGGCAATGGAACCTCTGGAGGGAGGAGGGGAGTGGAGGGCAGTAGGGGTGCAGCTGAGTGGCAGCAGTTCCCAAGGAGAATGGGTTTTCCCATGAGAGTGGAGGCAGGGATCTGGAAGGCTGGGGCCAGAACCATGCTGGGCAGGGACCCCTGACTTGTGACTAAAGAGCAGTGACCACCCAAGAGATCCGGGGGCAGGCAACCTTGAGGGGACAGCAGCTCTTGCCCACATGCCCCAGCCCAGACTTGCCTGAAGGGAGATGGGCAAAGGTCTGAGGCTCCAGCTTACCAGGGGCATCAGGAAAGGGCTCAGCAGGGCGGCTGTGGTGGCAGCACGGTTGGTGGTGTCAGGCCCAATCACCGCCAACACCTTAGGAGAATAGCGGAGAAGGTCTCCTTGGAGCTCTATGTGGCGTGGCCCTGGTAGGGAGAGCACGCTCAGCGTGGCGTACACATTGGCAGAGTCAGAGCACACATCATACAGCTGGTACCCCAGGGTGACGTTGGGCAGCAGTGTCGTGGAGTTGTTTATCTCCTCAACCCCAAGCCGCATAGCCTGGAAGAGGTGGTAGCCATGCTCATTGAAGCTACCAGTCCTGTGGAGAAAGCCAAGCAGAGAGAGCTAAGAAGGACAAGGCCCTGCTGAAACCCTCTGGCCTCCTAGACTCTGAGGCTTGGGGGTAGAAGGGAACCTTTGAGGTCATCGGTCGAGTTCCCCAAACCACAACTTCAACAAGGGCTCTGAAGCTCAGCAGGAGGAACAAGCTGGCCCTGATGGAGAAGCATATTAGCATCAAAAAGATCCTGAGGTCCTGGAGCAGAGAAACCTGCTACATTAGTCAGTGTTCTCCAGAGAGAGAGAGTGAGTGAGAAATTTAGTTTAAGGAATTGGGTCACATTGTGAGGGCTGGCAAGTTCAAATTTTGCAGGACAGACCAGCAGGCGGGACATTCTGTGAAGAATTGATGTTACTATGCTCCTCAGTCCTAAGATGCTATGGAGGCAGAATTCCCTCAAGTCCCTCCTTATACAGAAACTTCAGGCTTTTTTTTTTTTTTTTTTTTTTTTTTGAGATGTGTTAGGGACCCAACCCAGCAAAGGCCCTCTGCCAAGGCAGATGTTCCCTCCCCCCACCTGTTTGTTTTTCTTCATCTCCTGCTTTTCTCACCACCTGCAGGCCCTCTGCCAAGGCGGATGTTCCCCAGCTGTTGTTTTTTTCTCCTAACATCTGCCCATCAACCAGGATGTGGCTTTACCCAGAAACAGCTCCCACTCCCTCCCTAAAATATACTTATACCCCCTAGTCTTTAAGCCTAGGCTGCTGCCTCCTCTGATTGCTGTGGAGCAGCCCAGCAGGTTAATAAACTTGCTTGCCTGACTTTGGGTCTACTCGTTCTTTCTCTCGGCTAACCTTATATTTCGGTGCCGAAACCCAGGAATGGGTAGGCTCTGGCCGGGAGTCCCCAGAGGACTTTCTGTCTCTCTCTCTCTCTCTCTCTCTCTCTCACTCTCTCCTTCCCTCCCTCCTCGCGGGCTGTGTGCTAGAGCCTTTCCCCCTCATCCCACCTCTCTCCTGGCCACCCTCCCCTTCCCGAACCTGCCGAAGACCTGGAGGATTTCTCGGACTCTCCCATTGTTGGCAACCAAGGGCTTCCTCTGGCCTCCAGGCCTCTGGCTTCTCCATTTCAGGGATGCCTGACTCAGTGGCTACCTCCTCTATTCTGGACAGGGCTTCCAGGACAGGGGACACCCTCTCCTGCCATCCTTGTTGACCGGCAGTCTCTTCTTCCCCTACCCACCCCCCTCCATTCACCATAGGAGTTTCTCATTCTACGCTTCCTAAGACCACCCCTCTTGGGTATCTTCTGTGCAACCTCAACGTCCTCAGGCTCCATTCAAAGGTCCATCCTAAGAAGCTGCTTTTCTACTCTAATACTGCCTGGCCTCAATACAGATTAGACAATAGCTCCCAATGGCCCGAAAACGGCACTTTCAATTTCAGCGTACTTAAAGACTTAGACAACTTTTGCCACTGCAATGGGAAATGGTCCGGGATTCCTTATGTTCAGGCTTTCTTCACTCTCTGTAGCCACCCTTCTCTCTGCCAGTCCTGTTCTACTTTCCAAATCCTCCTCGCCTGCTCCAAACCCAACTTGCCCTCTGCCACTCTTCCTACAGCCCCAGTCAATGACTCCTCTTCTTTTAACCCCGCCAATTTCCCCCTCCTCGCCACCATCATGGTCCTCCATTAAACCACCCGAATCCCCCACCTTATGTCACCGTTCCTATTCTGCCCCCTTCTCCCCCTCTCTCCAACCACCCTGCCTCTGACTCCGAATCCTCACCGTCTCTACCCCTTACCCGTTCTCAGTCCCAACATGCCCCTTAACCAGCCCCCTCACGTTCCCTCCGGGAAGTGGCAGGAGCTGAGGGGACTGTCCGTGTCCACGTCCCTTTCTCCCTCTCTGACCTCTCCCAAATTGGAAAACATCTTGGGTCCCTCTGCTCCAATTCCAAAACTTATAACAAATAATTTAAATATCTTACCCCATCTTATGAACTCACTTGGCATGATCTCTACATCATCCTCTCTTCCACCCTCCTTCCAGAAAAGAAGGAAAGATTGTGTCTCGCAGCCCAGGCACACGCCACCAATCTTCATCGGCAAGATCCTACTAAGCCCATAGGAGTCACTGCTGTTCCCCAGGAAGAGCCTTCCTGGGAGTACCAACCCACAGACCCTGGCCGGGCATCCCGTAACCATATGATTACCTGCCTCATTGCAGGCCTTAACAAAGCTGCCCATAAGGCTGTAAATTTTGAAAACCTTAAGACATTTCCCAAAAGGCAGATGAAAATCCTGCCCAATTCCTTTCCCGCCTTACAGAGGCTCTCCAAAAATATACTTGCATCGACCCTTCCTCCCGAGAAAGAACTGTTGTTCTTAATACCTGTTTTATCTCCCAATCTGCCCCGACACCTGGCGCAAACTTAAAAAGGCTGAAGATGGCCCTCAAACCTCACAAGACCTCCTTAACCTGGCTTTCAAAGTCTTCAATAACAGGGATGAGCAAAGTAAATTAGATAGAGCCTAAAGAGAGAGATCACGCTAAATACCAGCTTCTAGCTGTGGCTATCTGTCAACGTAGCCATAGTACCCAAGGGCACAAAAGACCTGAGAGCAGTAATCCTCCCAGGCGCTGCTTTAAGTGTGGCAAAGATGGCCACTGGGCGCAGGCATGTCCTAACCCACAAGTGCTGAAGAGCCCTTGCCCAGTCTGCCAGCAGACAGGCCACTAGAAGTCTGACCGTCATCTCAACAGATGGACAGAAAAGCCTGCACCTCAGAACCACCTCCCCTTCAGCAAGACAAAAAGTGAAGAATCGCTTACACTCCCGCAACTCCTTGACCTAGCTTCTGAGAACGGACAAGTCGCAGGGCCCCCAGCCCCAACTGCCATCAATGCATCAGAGCCCAGGGTAACTATGCTAGTAGCAGGCAAGCCAATCTCCTTTATTTATTTATTTATTTTTTGAGACGGACTCTCGCTCTGTCACCTAGGCTGGAGTGCAGTGGCTGGATCTCAGCTCATTGCAAGCTCTGCCTCCCGGGTTTATGCCATTCTCCTGCCTCAGCCTCCCGAGTAGCTGGGACTACAGGCGCCCGCCATCTTGCCCAGCTAGTTTTTTGTATTTTTTAGTAGAGACAGGGTTTCACCGTGTTAGCCAGGATGGTCTCGATCTCCTGACCTTGTGATCCGCCCGTCTCAGCCCCCCAAAGTGCTGGGATTACAGGCTTGAGCCACTGCGCCCGGCCACCAATCTCCTTTTTAATCAATACCAGGGCCACCTACTCAGCCTTGCCTGAATTCTCAGTACCAATTCTCCCTTCTCAATCTCAGTTTTGGGGGTTGACAGACTCATCTAGCATCCAAGTGCCACCAGACCTCTTACTTATTCCCTATTCAATACCATTTTCTCACAGTCTTTCCGTATCATGCCTCATTGCCCCATCCCCATTCTAGGCTGAGACTTTTTGCCAAATTCAAGGCTTATATCACCTTTTCTTGTCTCCCCCAACAAGAAAGTAGGAGGACCTGAGTCCCTCCTACTCCTCTCCTCCAGTCCAGTCCCTGACCCCTCTCCCCGGCACCCACTTCCTTCCTCTCTTATGAACTCAATACTGTAGGATACTACCACCCCTTCCCTAACTGCTCACTATGACCCCATCAAAATCCAGCTAAAAGACCCCTCCAAATTCTCCAATATCCCCCAATACCCCATTTCTCTAACCCACCAAAAGGGTCTACAGCCCATCGTAAACAAGCTCTGCTCACATGGTATTCTTCAGCCAACACACTCTCCATGTAACATCCCCATCCTCCCTGTTAAAAACTCAGACGGCTCATACCAACTCATTCAAGACTTCCGAGCCATTAATCAGGCCATCCTCCATATTCACCCTGTAGTCCCTAACCTGTATACGCTTCTCTCTCTCATCCCCTCCAATGCCACCCACTACACTGCTATTGACCTAAAAGATGCCTTCTTTACCATTCCCCTACATCCTGATTCCCAAAACCTCTTTGCCTTCACCTGGGCTGACCCTGACACCCTCCAATCACAGCAACTCACATGGACTGTCCTTCCCCAAGGCTTCAGGGATAGTCCTCATTTCTTTGGGCAAGCCCTAGCCCAAGACCTTACCTCCTTAGACCTTTCCCCCAGCCGTCTTCTTCAATATGTGGATGACCTCCTCCTCTGTAGTCCCTCCCTAGAAGACTCTCAGACTCACACTATTACCCTTCTAAACTTTCTTGCTAACAAAGCGTATAGGGTCTCCCCCTCCAAAGTACAACTCTCCACCCCAACAGTAACATAATTAGGAGTCCAACTCCTAGCTTCATCTCCCAAATCAGCCAACAGGTTTCTCAGTCCCTCAGTGTCCAGTGGCGCCTCCATATCCCATATCAACCCCAGTCATCAGGAAAAGTTGAAAGGGCAAATGGCGTCCTTAAAACTCAGTTAACCAGGCCGGGCGTGGTGGCTCAAGCCTGTAATCCCAGCACTTTGGGAGGCCGAGACGGGCGGATCACGAGGTCAGGAGATCGAGACCATCCTGGCTAACACGGTGAAACCCCGTCTCTACTAAAAAATACAAAAAACTAGCCGGGCGAGGTGGCAGGCACCTGTAGTCCCAGCTACTCGGGAGGCTGAGGCAGGAGAATGGCCTGAACCCGGGAGGCGGAGCTTGCAGTGAGCTGAGAGATTCGGCCACTGCACTCCAGCCCAGGCGACAGAGCAAGACTCCGTCTCAAAAAAAAAAAAAAAAAAAAAAAAAAAACTCAGTTAACCAAACTCACTCTTGAAGTCCAAAATGCTGGACCTCCCTTCTGCCCATAGCCCTAGTACACATCAGAGCCAGCCCAAAAGCACCCTCTTTCCTCAGTCCATTTGAGTTAATGTATGGACGCCCTTTCCTCTTACAAAACAGGCCCCCTTCTAACTCTCAGCTAGGAGAATACCTCCCAACACTCTCTCTCATCCACCATCTCCTCCGTGAACAAGCTGACCAGGCCCTCCCAAAACCCCATGAAGGCTCCACCAACCAGACTCTCCTTCCAGGAAAGCATGTCTTCTTAAAAACTCTTAACCCGACCAGCCCCAGGTCTAAGTGGGAAGCCCCTTTCCACATCATCCTCACAATCCCCACTGCAGCCAAACTCTCAGGACATGCTTCTTGGTACCAACTTTCTAGATTAAAAAGGGCTCCTACAACTGATCCGCCTACAGCTGACCCACCTATTGCCTTCCGCCAATTCTCCAGTACCCTCCTTGGCCCAACTAAACTCTGCCTCATGCCTGTCCATAAAGGAGACACTTAAACAATACCCAGACTGCTCTTTCTCCTCCTGACAATCGCAAGTACATTCCTGATTTCTCTCAAATGCCCTGTTCCTGCCTACCTTGCCACTTCACCCTCTTCATCCTCTCCACCAAGACATCTCCTGGTTTCAGCTCCAAACTCCCACTCTGGACTCTCTTTTAGAGTGGATAGATGACCTCCTCTTTCAAGGCACCCTATATGACTTTTCCCCAGATGAAATGCACTTATTTACTTTCCTACTTACTCTTTGCCTATCTAACTCTCCTAATCCATTGGCTGCCCCACATAGCCACACCTCCCCTTCCAATACTACCCAGCTACCTCTACAAGACCCTTAGCTTAACTCCCTCCCTACTAAACCAGTCCAACCCCATCCTAGCAAAAGACTGCTGGCTTTGTATCTCCCTATTAACCACCACCTATGTTGCCACCCCTGTTCCCTCAAAAGACTGGGTTCTTACTAAGTTAACCTATCACCCCCGTTATGAAGGGAAAAGCCCTTTACAACTTTTAGACATGCAGTCATTGGCTAAATTTTCTGTCATAGATATGACAAAAAACACTCTGACAGGGCGCATAGTACAACTTTTACGCTCCTATATCTCCAGCCTTACCCAATATACAAGTAATGACAAGCCCATTCGCGGCCCTGCGACCACTGACACCGGTCTGACTTTCTAAGCCCCTGTGTGTATCCAATGTAACCTGCCCTCAGGTCTGCCTTTAGGTCACCTACTGTCCCATCAATGTAACCATACCTTACAGCTTCAAGCCCCAAACGACCACCAAAATTTTTTTTTTTTTTTTTTTTTTTTGAGATGGAGTCTCGCTCTGTCGCCCAGGCTGGAGTGCAGTGGCCGGATCTCAGCTCACTGCAAGCTCCGCCTCCCGGGTTTATGCCATTCTCCTGCCTCAGCCTCCCCAATAGCTGGGACTACAGGCGCCCGCCACCTCGCCCGGCTAGTTTTTTGTATTTTTCAGTAGAGACGGGGTTTCACTGTGTTAGCCAGGATGGTCTGGATCTCCTGACCTTGTGATCCACCCGTCTCGGCCTCCCAAAGTGCTGGGATTACAGGCTTGAGCCACCGCGCCCGGCCCACCAAAATTTTAAGGTCACCAAAACGGCCGAATTTAAACAACTCGTCCACTTTTCAGGACCCCCAAAAGTCACCACCAGCTCTTTACTAAACAGTCAAGATTTTGTAATGGCAGACATACAGGCTGTATGGCCATTCACCCATGGACCTCTTGCAGCATGGCTCCCCTCCCGGCCAAATGCCTCTTTATACCCTCTTTCAATTACTCTTTCGAATGGCTCCTGGTAGACACAAAACAATTCTTTCTCCAATGGGAGAATAAAACACGAGGAGCCACTCCAATTATCCCTGCAACACCTTTTCTGCCACTCACTGGAGCCGCCTTAGCAAGCACTCTAGGCATGTGGGAGAATGAAAACAATAAACTCACATGCTTTTTCAGTATACATAACCAGTTCTTTCTGCCCAGCCAAGGTATATCTTTCTTGTGTGGAACCTCAACCTATGTCTGCCTCCCTACCAATTGGACTGGCACCTGCACCCTAGTCTTCTTAAACCCCAAAATTGACATTGCCCCTGGAAATCAGAGTTTACCAATCCCTATTAAAGCTCGAGTCCGTCAACGCAGAGCTATACAGCTAATACGCCTGCTTATAGGACTAGGAATTACTACTGCAACAGGAACAAGGATAGCAGGCTTGTCTGTTGGGAGAAAAGCTGAGTGATGGGAGAGAAGCTGAGGCAGGCTTGCATGTCTGACATAATGTAAAAGAGTCTTGGAACATGTCCAGGGTCCAGGGTCTAAAACCCCTCATGGCCTGGCCGGGTGCCGTGGCTCACGTCTGTAATCCCAGCACTTTGGGAGGCCGAGGAGGGCGGATCACTAGGTCAGAAGATTGAGACCATACTGGCTAACATGGAGAAACTCCATCTCTACTAAAAACACAAAAAATTAGCCGAGAGTGGTGGCGGGCGCCTGTAGTCCCAGCTACTCGGGAAGCTGAGGCAGGAGAATGGCGTGAACCTGGGAGGCGGAGCTTGCAGTGAGCCAAGATTGCACCATTACAGTCTAGCCTGCGCAAGGGAGCAAGACTCTGTCTCAAAAAAAACAAAGAAAAGAAAAAAACCCTCGTGGCCTTTGGAATGTTTCTAGACTTGCTGGCTCCTTGCTTCTAGCACTCCCATTATCTCAAGTAGCCATATGTTTCAAAGAAAAATGCTACACCCTCACAGCTGCAGCTCATGTACTTGATACAGTGCTTCCTTTCAACCCCCACATCCTCGCCACCTGTTTCTTTGTTTGATCACCAATAAATAGCGTGGGCTCCCAGAGCTCAGGTCCTTCGCAGCCTCCATACTAGAGTTGGTCCCCTGGTCCCACTTTCTCTCGTCTTTTCTTATTCCTTTGACTCCGCTGGACTTCGTAGCCCCCACGGCCTGGTGTTGGGCCTTATCACCCCAACACTTGTCCACCTCTCTGTCCTACTATCATGCTTTCTCAAAAGATCGCTTGGACAGCCTACAAGACATAGCTGAATCTATCCTTATTCTCCAGTCCCAAATAGACTTTTTTTTTTTTTTTTTGAGACAGAGTCTCGCTCTGTTGCCCAGGCTGGAGTGCAATGGCGCCACCTGGGCTCCCTGCAAGCTCCGCCTCCCAGATTCAGGCCATTCTCCTGCCTCAGCCTCCCAAGTAGCTGGGACCACAGGCACCTGCCACCATGCCCAGCTAATTTTTTGTATTTTTCGTAGAGACGGGGCTTCACCGTGTTAGCCAGGATGGTCTCGATCTCCTGACCTTGTGATCCGCCCACCTCGGCCTCTCAAAGTGCTGGGATTACAGGCGTGAACCACCATGCCTAGCCCTGAATAGACTCTTTAGCAGCAGTGTCACTTCAAAACCGTTGAGGTTTAGATCTCCTCACTGCCGAAAAAAGTGGACTGTGCATCTTCTTAGGAGACAAGTGCTGTTTCTATACTAACCAGTCAGGACTAGTACGAGATGCAGCCTGACGGTTAAATGAAAGGGCTTCTGAAATCAGGCAGCGCCCTTCAGACTCCTGGCCCCAGAGGTTTCGTAACCCCTAGGCACCCTGGCTAATGCCCCTCCTGGGTCCTGCCATAACCCTTTTTCTCCTTTTAGCATTTGGCCCGTGCCTCCTACATCTCCTTACCCAGTTTTTACGGGACCGTATTAGAGCCTTCGCCCATGGTGAGAGGTGACAACGTGCTAACAGCCCTCGCTCGCTCTCGATGGGTCAGTACAAGACATGATGCTACTTCAAGAATACCAGCGGCTTCAAGAACAACTGTACCAACCCCACAGCCTTTCTCCATAAACATCGCCCCTCTTCAGCTAGAAGCAGTCAGAAGGCAACGCCACCCCTTCTCTATTACCTATTAAAGGCTGGAATGTTAGGGACCCAACCCAGCAAAGGCCCTCCGCCAAGGCGGATGTTTTCCCCACCCCGTTTTTCTCTGTCCCCTCTTTTTCTCACCGCCTACAGGTCCTCCGCCAAGGCAGATGTTCCCCAGCTGTTGTTTTTTCCCCCTAACATCTGCCCATCAACCAGGAAGTGGTTTTACCCAGAAACAGCCCCTAGGCGCCCCTGCGCCCTCCCTAAAATATACTTATACCCTCTAGTCTGTAAGCCCGGGCTGCTGCTTCCTTGGATTGCTGTGGGGCAGCCCAGCAGGTTAATAAACTTGCTTGCCTGACTTTGGGTCTACTCGTTCTTTCTCTCGGCTAACTTTACAAGATGGAGTTTTGCTCTTGTTGCCCAGGCTGTGGTGCAATGGCACAATCTCGCCTCACTGCAACCTCTGCCTCCCGGATTCAAGTGATTCTCCGGCCTCAGTCTCCCGAGTAGCCGGGATTACAGGTATATGCCACCATGCCCGGCTAATTTTGTATATTTAATAGAGAGGGGATTTCTCCATGTTGGTCAGGCTGTCTCGAACTCCTGACCTCAGGTGATCTGCCCACCTTGGCCTCCCAAAGTGCTGGGATTACACTGAACCACCGCACCTGGCTTTTTTTTTTCTCTCTTTCTCCCTCTTTTTTTTCTCTCTTTCTCCCTCTTTTTTTTTTTGACATGGAATTTCACTCTTGTTGCCTTGTTGCCCAGGCTGGAGTGTAATGGCACGATCTCGGCTCACTGCAACCTCCACGCCCCCAATCCCAGTTCAAGCAATTCTCCTGCTTCAGCCTCCAGAGTAGCTGGGATTGCAGGTGTGCACCCACACATCCATCTAATTTTCGTATTTTTACTAGAGACGGGGTTTCACAGGTTGACCAGTGCAATGGTGTGATCTCTGCTCACTGCAACCTCCACCTCCCAGGTTCAAGCAATTATCCTTCCTCAGCCTCCCAAGTAACTGGGATTACAGGCGCATGCCACCACTCCCAGCTAATTTTTTTGTATTTTAGTAGAGACAAGGTTTCACTATGTTGCCCAGGCTGGTCTCGAACACCTGAGCTCAGGCAATCCACCTGCCTTAGCCCCCCAAAGTTGCTTGGATTACAGGCGTGAGCCGCCGTGCCCAGCTCAATTCTATTGATGTAAATGTTTACTAAATCTAAAAAATACCTTCTGGCTGGGCACAGCGGATCACGACTGTAATCCCAGCACTTTGGGAGGCCAAGGTGGGTGGATCACTTGAGGCCAGGAGTTCGAGACCAGCCTGGCCAACATAGTGAAACTCTGTCTTTATGTATTTATTTATTTATTTATTTTGAGATGGAGTCTTGCTCTGTTGCCCAGGCTGGAGTGCAGTGGCACGATCTAGGCTCACTGCAAGCTCTGCCTCCTGGGTTCACGCCATTCTCCTGCCTCAGCCTCCCGAGTAGGTGGGACTACAGGCGCCCACCACCACACCTGTCTAATTTTTTGTGTTTTCAGTAGAGACGGGGTTTCACCATGTTAGCCAGGATGGTCTCGATCTCTTAACTTGGTGATCCGCCCTCCTCAGCCTTCCAAAGTGCTAGGATTACAGGCGTGAGCTACCATGCCTGGCTGAAACCCTGTCTTGATTAAAAGTACAAAAAATGGGGCTGGGCTCAGTGGCTTATGCCTGTAATCCCAGCACTTTGGGAGGCCGAGGTGGGCGGATCATGAGGTCAGGAGATCGAGACCATCCTGGCTAACACGGTGAAACCCCGTCTCTACTAAAAAATACAAAAAACTAGCTGGGCGAGGTGGTGGGCGCCTGTAGTCCCAGCTACTTGGGAGGCTGAGGCAGGAGAATGGCGTGAACCCGGGAGGCGGAGCTTGCCGTGAGCCGAGATAGTGCCACTGCACTCCAGCCTGGGCAACAGAGCAAGACTCGGTCTCAAACAAAAAAAAAAAGGAAAGAAAAGAAAAGCAGGCTGGGCGTGGTGGCTCACACTCATAATCCCAGTGCTTTGGGAGGCCGAGGTAGGCAGATTACCTGAGGTTGGGAGTTCGAGACTAGCCTGACCAATGTGGTGAAACCCCTGTCTCTACGAAAAATACAAAAATGTAGCCAGATGTGGTGGCACACACCTATAATTCCAGCTACTCCTGATGCTAAGGCATGAGAATCACTTGAGCCCAGGAGGAGGAGGTTCCAGTGAGTCAAGATTGTGCCACTGCACTCCAGCCTGGATGACAGAGCGAGACTCCATCTCAAAAAAATAAAAAATAAATAAAATATAAATAAATAAAAGCAGTAGTTCCCCTCTACCTAGATTGTTGACTTTACGATGGCACCAACCTAAGCTCCTAAAGCATCTAATGGGATGTGTCTTACCTTGCCACCCTATGGAGAACCATACTTGTCATCTGGGACTCTAGGGAGCTTTGAACATGGGTAGGAGTGGAGAGAAGATAGAGGAGGGAAAAGGACACCCTTGCTTAGGCCTGGCCATCTAGGTACAGTACAAAGTCAAGAACCAATTTCAGTGGAGTTACAACACATTCTAACAGCAAGGGCGAAATAATTGGAAGCTGGCTGAAGTGTCTAGGAAGGTCTAGCCAGCACTCAGGTGGCAAGCGGATTGATGGACAAGGCCTAGAGACAGTTCAGGTGGCAAAGGCAGAGGCAAGGTCCTGGCTGAGGATGGCAGGCAGAGGGGTCCTATAGCCAGGGGTCCCACTAAGTGTGGCTCTGCTGACCCCTCACTCACCTGTCACACAGGGTCACTTCGGGTCTGTGCCTCACCTGCAGACAGCCAGAATGGAGAGGGAACAGGCCTGCCAGGAGGTAATCCCCGGGGAGGGTGAAGTCAGGAGAAGGCTCAGTGCTATGGCAGGCAAAGGCCCAGCAGCAGGAAATGAGAAGCTGCAGGCCAACCAGGCAAGCTGTGCAGAGCAGCATGCTGGCCAGACGCCCGCGCCCGGCATGGCCAAGGAGTGGCCTCTAAGGAGGCCAGTTGCTTAAATAGAAGGCAGCTGCCGGATGCTTCCTAACTTCATGCCCCCGAAAGGGGTGGGACTTGGAGCCCAGTGGCTGAAGCAGGACTGTTTGCCTTGACATTCCGGGCCTGCGGTCCAACTCAGGAACTGGGCAGGACAAAGGCACAGATGCAAACCAGGTGGCACCCAGTGACCCTTCCTCTGGACGGTTGTGGGTTCTGTCCACGCTCTGTGACTTCACCTGGCTTAGAAAGGGAGCCCTGGCATTTTGGGGCAAGGTGGGAGGCTGGAACACAACTTCTCCCAGTATTGTGAGGTTTTAGAACTTTTTACCTGTGCCTCAGTTTCCTAAATGAGACACAGCTTTGAGTCGACAACCCCTTACCCCAGACTCCAGTTTTCTGACAATAAGATTCTGAGCAAATCGTCATATACTTTCGCCTCGTTACCCAGGGTTGCTCACTTCGAGACAAATGCATGCAAACCTAAGGTATGCAAATAGACATGTTTTGTTTAAACTGCCAATCCTAAAGCTTTTTCTGCAGGAGAAAAAAAAAAAAACCCCGGTGGATTTCCGGAGAGGCGGCCCATGACTGGTCGCGAGGTTTCTGACTTTCCCTCTCCAACCGGCTGGGGTAGGGAATTTGCATAATGTAAATGGAGTCCTCGGTGGAGCCCCTCGACCAGGCCGGCAGGGGCCTCCTAGTGTGCTTCCGGAGGTTGTCGGCAGAGGACGCTGGCGGCTCCGAGGCCGCTCCTTTCGGCAGCTGGGCGGGCAGAGGGGAGGAGCGACGGGATCTCGCGAGATTATCGCGCGGTAGGGGCCCAGTACCCAGCATGGCGGACTCGGGGTTGCTGCTAAAGCGGGGTTTCTGCCGTTCCACTTGGCTGCGGGCCCGCAAGGCCCGGCCCCAGCTCATCCTCAGCCGCCGGCCCCGCCGCCGGCTCGGGACCCTGCGCTGGTGCGGTCGGCGGCGCCTACGGCGGCGATTACTGCAAGCCCAGGCGGCCGGCGTGGACTGGAGGGAGGGAGCCCGTCAGGTGTCGCGCGCGGCGGCGGCCGGGAGACCCAAGACCGCGACCCCCAGCCCGATCCCTAGCCCGACCCCGGCCTCCGAACCCGAATCCGAATTCGAATCCGCCTCGAGTTGCCGCCGGCCTCTCCTTATCCCGCCGGTGCGGCCAGTGGGCCCGGGCCGTGCGTTACTGCTGCTGCCGGTTGAGCAGGTAGGTAGGGGACGCCGGCAGGAGTCCCCGAAGGCAGGGGGGCTAGAGAGGCAGCCCCAGGAGAGCTGCAGGGTAGGAGAGGACCGTAGTCCCCCGGGCCTCTTCTCTGGCTGTCAGTCGGATTCAAGTCCATCTTCTTGGTGCTGGCAACTAGGCTCTCCTAAGCAGCAAAGTAACAGGTACCTTGCTAAGGGGTCCCTAGGCCTTAAGAGCTAAAGGGACTTTATTTATTTATTTATTATTTTATTTTATTTTATTTTATTTTGACACAGTCTCACTCTGTTCCCCAGATTGGAGTGCAGTGGCGCGATCTCGGCTCACTGCAGCCTCCGCCCCCCGTCTCAAGTGCTTCTCGTGCCTCAGCCTCCTGAGTAGCTAGGACTACAGGAGTGCGCCACCTCGCCCGGCTAATTTTTGTATTTTTATTTGTATTTTCTTTGAGACGGAGTTTCACTCTTGTCGCCCAGGCTGGAGTGTAGTGGCGTAGTCTCAGCTCACTGCAACCTCTGCCTCCAGAGTTCAAGTGATTGTCCCGCCTCAGCCTCCCAAGTAGCTGGAATTACAGGTGCTCGCCACCACGCCCAGCTAATTTTTGGATTTTTTTTTTTTTTTTTTTTTTGATACGGAGTCTCGCTCTGTCGCCCTGGCTGGAGTGCAGTGGCCGGATCTCAGCTCACTGCAAGCTCCGCCTCCCGGGTTTATGCCATTCTCCTGCCTCAGCCTCCTGAGTAGCTGGGACTACAGGCACCTGCCACCTCGACCGGCTAGTTTTTTGTATTTTTTAGTAGAGACGGGGTTTCACCGTGTTCGCCAGGATGGTCTCGATCTCCTGACCTCGTGATCTGCCCGTCTCGGCCTCCCAAAGTGCTGGGATTACAGGCTTGAGCCACCGCGCCCGGCCAATTTTCGTATTTTTAATAGAGACAGGGTTTCACCCTGTTGGTCAGGCTCATCTCGAACTCCTGACCTCAGGTGATCCACCTCCTAAAGTGCTGGGATTACAGGCGTGAGCCACTGCCCCCGGTCTAATTTTTGTATTTTTAGTAGAGATGAGGTTTCTCCATGTTGGCCAGGCTGACCTCAAGTGACCCACCCGCCTCGGCCTCCGAAGTGCTGGGCTTACAGGCGGGAACCACGTTGCCCGGCCCTGAAAGGGATTTGATTTTTTTTTTTTTTTTTTGAGACGTAGTCTTGCTTTGAGGCCAGACTGGAATGCAGTGGCGCGATCTCTGGGCTCACTGCAACCCCCACATCCCGGGTTGAAGCAATTCCCCTGGCTCAGTCTCCCGAGTAGCTGGGACTACAGGCGCGTGCCACCTCACCCGGCTATATTTTTGTATTTTTAGTAGAGATGGGGTTTCACCATGTTAGCCAGGATAGTCTCGATCTCCTGACCTTGTGATCCACCGGCCTCAGCCTCCCAAAGTGCTGGGATTACAGGTGTGAACCACTGCACCTGGAACCCTGAAAGGGATCTTAATAGTTAAAAAAAAAAGGACAGCACTTTGGGAGGCCGAGACGGGCGGATCACGAGGTCAGGAGATCGAGACCATCCTGGCTAACACGGTGAAACCCCGTCTCTACTAAAAAGACAAAAAACTAGCTGGGCGAGGTGGCGGGCGCCTGTAGTCCCAGCTACTTGGGAGGCTGAGGCAGGAGAATGGCGTAAACCCGGGAGGCGGAGCTTGCAGTGAGCTGAGATCCGGCCACTGCACTCCAGCCTGGGCGACAGAGCGAGACTCTGTCTCAAAAAAAAAAAAAAGGATTGCAGTTACTGAGAGCTCAGAAATTCCAGGATTTAAGGGTTCTAAGTGTTTTAGGCTTTGAACCCATTTAAACATCCAGCTCTCTTATGGAGTAGTTGCCCCTATCTCTAAGTATGTTTACAGATGAAGAGACTGAGGTTGGGTAACTTACACAGTAGAGGGAGAGCTAGGAGTCAAACTCAGGCAGCCTGATTCTTAACATGGACGCCATTTCTGGGAGATTCCCTGTCTAATGCTGGAGGGAAGACAGAACCCAGGAAGTTCTGGAAGAGACTTGGCAAGCCGTGGGTCTTTAAAAGGACAGAGTGGTAGAGTCTGTCTGAACCAGGAGCAGAGAGCTGAGTTCACAGTCACCATGCTCTCTCTGTAGCTGCCATGGGGTATGATCTAAGGTTAAAAACATAAAGTATGGGCCGGGCACGGTGGCTCACACCTGTAATCGCAGCACTTTGGGAGGCTGAAGCTGGCAGATCACCTGAGGTCAGAAGTTTGGGACCAGCCTGACCAACATGGTGAAACCTCATCTCTACTAAAAGTACAAAAATTAGCTGAGTGTGATGGCACACTCCTGTAATCCCAGCTACTCTAGAAAGAAAGGAAGAAAGGAAGGGCCGGGCGCGGTGGCTCACGCTTGTAATGCCAGCACTTTGGGAGGCCGAGGCAGACCAGGCTGGTCTCAAAATCCTGACCTCAGGTGATCCGCCCACCTAGGCCTCTCAAAGTGCTGAGATTACAGGCATGAGCCACTGTGCCCAGCTCTCTCTTTTCCTTTTCCTTTCTTTCCTTCCTTTACCCCTCTCTCCCTCCCCCTCCTTCCTTTCTTTTCCCCTCCCTCCCTCTCTCCTTCCTCTCACTCTGCCACCCAGGCTGGAGTGCAGTGGTGCAATCTCGGCTCACTGCAAGCTCCGCCTCCTGGGTTCACGCCATTCTTCTGCCTCAGCCTCCCTAGTAGCTGGGACTACAGGCGCCCGCCACCACACCTGGCCAATTGTTTTGTATTTTTTTTAATAGCGATGGAGTTTCACCGTGTTAGCCAGGATGGTCTTGATCTCCTGACATTGTGATCTGCTCGCCTCGGCCTCCCAAATGCTGGGATTACAGACGTGAGCCACTATGCCCAGCCAATATTTGATTTTCTGTACCTGAATGAGTTTGCTGAGGATAACGGCTTCTAGCTCCATCCATGTCCCTGCAAAGGACGTGATCTCATTCCTTTTTATGACTGCAGCCTTTTAAAATTTTTTATTTTATTTAATTTTTATTTATTTATTTATTTTTGAGACAGTATCACTGTCACCCAGGCTGCAGTGTACCGGCATAATCTTAGCTCACTGCAACCTTTGCCTCTGGGTTCAAGTGATTCTCATGCCTCACCCTCTGGAGTAGCTGGGATTACAGGCACATGCCCAGCTAATTTTTGTAGTTTTAGTAGAGATGGTGGCAGTGGGAGCGGGGTGCTGGGGGATTTGCCATGTTGTCCAGGCTGGTCTCAAACTCCTGGCCTCAAGTGATCCCCCCACTTCCTTCTCCCAGAGTTGCGGGGTTACTGGCGTGAGCCACCGTGCCTGGCCCAATATTTATTACTGATGGAGTGGAGTGGTGTAATTATGGCTCACTGCAGCCTCTACCTCCGAGACTCAAGCAGTCCACCCATCTCAGCCTCCCAACTAACTAGGACCACAGATGCATGCCACTGCACCCTGCTAATTTTTAAATGTTTTGTAAACAGGTCTCTGTTGCCCAGGCTGATCTTGAGCTCCTGGGCTCAAGTGATCCTCCTGCCTCAGCTTCACGAGTGTGAGCCACTGTGCCTGGCCTTACCTGCCTTTTAATGTGTGAATAGCAAGTTAAGATTTTAGAATCTGGCCAGGTGCGGTAGCTCATGCCTGTAATCCCAGCACTTTGGGAGGCCAAGGCTGGTGGATCGCCTGAGGTCGGGAGTTCGAGACCAGCCCGACCAACATGGAGAAACCCCGTCTCTACTAAAAATACAAAATTAGCCGAGCATGGTGGCACATGCGAGTAATCCCAGCTACTCGCAGGAGATACTTGAACCTGGGAGGCGGAAGTTGCAGTGAGCCGAGATAGCGCCGTTGCACTCCAGCCTGGGCAACAAGAGTGAAACTCTGTCTCAAAAAAAAAAAAAAAAAAGAAAAAAGAAAAAAAAAGATTTTAGAATATTTCAGTCATTAGTGACAGGATGTATAATGTTTGTTCTTTCTGTTTTCTTTCCATGCTAGGGTTTTACTTTCAGTGGCATCTGCCGTGTGACCTGCCTCTATGGCCAGGTGCAGGTATTTGGTTTTACCATCAGCCAAGGCCAGCCTGCCCGAGACATCTTCTCTGTGTACACTCACTCTTGCTTGAGTATCCATGCACTTCATTACTCGTTGCCTGAGAAAAGCAAGAAAGAACTCAAAAGGGAAGCCCGGAATTTGCTCAAATCTCATCTTAACCTTGGTAATGAAAAGAACTGGGTAATTTACTGAGGGCCTACTGTGCTAATACTAATTAATAATTTTTA